AAAGAATATGGAATAGGTTAGATATGCATTATATCCTACAAATAGTGCTATAATGAATTCAACATAGACTAGATAAAATAATAAACATGAAGAAAGCTAGTTGGTCATAATAAAAACTTAAAAAGTAAATATACAAAGTGTTTATAAAATGTGTGTATTCTGGATAGTAAATAAAGAGATTTACTACCTTCTTCATAACTTTTTTGTTTAATTACAATTTGGGATATAATGATAGTAATAGTGATTCTCTATGCTAATTACCTATGTACATACTTTCTATAAATAGTACATATAGTTTTTTACAATTCTCTTTTTCCTATCTTATGTTTGGTCTGTTTACATTTACATAGCGATAGACATATAGACCAAAAAAACAGAAAAGAAGGCTGGGGTTGTAGCTCAGTGGTAGAGCACCTGCCCTGCATGTGTGAGGCACTGGGTTCGATTCTCAGCACCACATAAAAATAAATAAATAAAGATATGGTGTCTATCTACCATCAAATAAATATTAAAAAACACAAACAAAAAAAAAAAAACAGAAAAGAGAGCCCAGAAATAAACTTAGGCACATATTGTCAAATGACCTGGAACAAGTGTGCCAGAACTACACAATGGGGAAAGAAGAGTCTCTTCAACCAACACTCCTGAGAAAACTAGATACCCAAAGCAAAAGAATGAAACTGGACCCTCATCTTACACCACACACAAAAATCACCTTGAAATGTACTAACTTTCAAAACATTGAGACTTAAAACTAAAACTTCTAGAAAAAAATAGGAGATAATAAGCTTTATCGCACTGGTCTTAACAACGATTTCTTGAATATGGCACCAAAATCACAGGCAACAAAAGCAAAAATAGTGTTCGATTTTTGTTTACTGAAAGGTAATTAAAAATTTTTATAGATGTTTATATTTATTGAATGAATTATAGAAAAGGGGATTGAGTTTTCAATGTCTTTATTGCTATTTATTCTGTAAAATTATTTTTATTGAACTTTTAACAAGTRTTAGTATATGATGGCTTTAAACTTACTGGGGTCCTACCACACAAGTTGAAGCCTTATTTACAGCATCCATACAGAAGAAGAGATGGTGCCTTCACCATCTTAAGCTTCCCCAGCATAGTTTTAGGAGTCACCTTTAATTCTAACATTTGTTCTGTTTCCGTAGGGAAATAGGGGAAATCAACAAGGAGGAATTCTGAGTCTGTGGCATTAGCAGGAGTGGGTGATCCCAGAGAAAGCTGTGCACTGTTAAGACTCTGCTGCCACCGTGTGGCCATTTTGTTTATGACCCGTAGGTAGAAGAGCAACCTGAAGCTTTTTTTTGTCTCTCAACCTCAAAGCATTTCCTATTCTGTCTTTCCCATCTAATTACCCAGTAAGCTCTGTGAAATCTAGCAAGGCCTCTGTCTTTCTCTATTTCATGCTTGCTTTTTAAATTCACTCCCTGTTTTCAGGGAATTTATTACTGATAAATGAATGTGGGCAACCAAAGTGTCACCCAAACTGCAACAAAGCAATGAATTATGCAATTAATTAAAGCATATCTGTGTTCAAATAAAAGTTTTTAAATTGTAGCAATAAAATATAAATTATTTTAATCCTTGTCACCCAGAGAGAACATCACTTTAAATGCAGCAATTAGCAAGACACAAGCCATCCTGGATATATTTCCAATTACGTTGCCAGAATGTAGATTAATAATTTATGGAGTGGTAAAACTGAGTAAAGGTCTTTTAAAATGTAATGTTTGGAGAGCTTGGCCTTCATAAATCTTCATTATAATCACATAGTAGTTTTACATTGATAATATACATTACACCTCATCTSAACAAAGATGAAACATGTCTGGTTAACAAAAGAAGAGAGAAGAATGGAGTCTGTTTCAGAAGCTAGAGGCTTTTTGCCAAGCTCTTCCTTCTCTGTAGGTATCTTCTTAGTAGTAAGAATTATGAAGAGGATCCAAGCCAAAGCCCATGTTTCCTTGTGACATGAAAACAATCCACTTTAAGTCATTCTGTGCAACCTATATGGAACTTTGCAAAGTCAATCTTCCTTGGAGACTTCCCACATACATCAGAAAACTATCTTTGAAAAATGTTGGCACTATGCCAGATACAGTAGCACTCACTAATAATCCCAATGATGTGGGAAGCTGAAACAGGAAGATTCCAAATCCAAGGCCAGCTTGGAAAAGTTAGCAAGACTCTGTCTCAAAATTTTTAAAAATTAAAAGGGCTGGGGATATAGCTCAGTGGTAAAGTGCCCTGGATTCAATTCAATACCCAGCATCAAAGAAAAGAAAGAAAGAAAAAGAAAAATGTTGGCACTATACAAAAAAATCAATTCAAAATGGATCAAAGACTTACATATAAGACCCCAAATTGTGAAAATACTAGAAGAAAACAGAGAAATGCTTCAGGAAATTGATCTGGGAAAATAATTTTTGGATATGACCCCAAATGCACAAGCAACAAAAGCAAAAGTTGACAAATGGGATTACATCAAACTAAAAAGCTTTTACACAGCATAGAAAAGAATTAACAGAGTGAAGAGACAGCCTACAGAAGAGGAGAAAACATCTGAAAATTATTCATTCAATTAGGGAGTAACATTCAGAATATGTGAGGAACTCAACAGCAAAAAATAATCCAATTAAAAATGGATTATTAAATGATCTGAGTCAACTTTGCTTAGAAGATATACAAATGGCCAACAAGTACATGCAAAAATGTTCACTATCACTGATCATCAGGGAAATGCAAATCAAAACCACAACGAACCTCAATTTGTCTCACCCTAGATAGATTGGCTGTTACCAAAAAGACAAAAAATACAAATGTCGGCAAGGATGCAGAGAAAAGGGACTCTCCTGCACTGCTGATGGGAATGTAAATTAGTACAGACATTATCGAAAACAACATGGAGGTTCCTCAAAAAATTAGAACTAGAACTCCCAGATGACTGAGCTATTTCATTATTTTCAAAGGAAATGGAATAAGCATGTCATAGAAACAGCATTCACACATTTACTGCTATTCACAATCACCAAGATATGGGATCAACTTAGGTGTCCATCATGGATAAAGGAAAAAAGAAAATGTGGTATATTTACATAATATAATAATATTCAGCCTTCAAAAAGAACCAAATCCTGTCATCTATAGCAAAATGGATGGCACAGTCCCATCACTTATTTTCAAGTGAAATAAGTCAGGCATAGAAAGAAAAAAATCATACATTCTCAGATGTCGAAGCCTAAAAAGTTTATCTCGTAGAAGTAGAGAGTAAAAATGGTTACCAAAGTGTGTGGAGAATGGAGGACACTGACAGAATCATTAACAGCCACAGGACAGGGTGCAATTGGAAAGGGGAACAAGAGTTGACAACGACTACTAAAGCTTTTCAGAAGACAGGATTTTGAATGTTCCCAGCCCAAAGGAATAAAAATGTTTAAAGTGATGTTTAGGCCAGTTACCTTTATCGGATCATTACACAGTGTATACGAGTATGGAAATTATCAGAGTTGACCTCCATAAATATGTACAATTATCATGTGGCAATTAAAATTTTTTAATTTTTTTAAATGTTGGCTACTTGAGTTGCCTATCCCTAAAATCATCCTAAAATTGTACTGGTTGATGTCCTAATGGATAGAGCCTCATTTTTCCTTTTTCTTTAGGTTTAACTTGCTTATTGGATCATGCACTAGGCTTCTAACCCACCATTGAARGTGCACAGGACACATGAATGATGGCCCAGGGCTGCTTTCTTTTTCTCCCCTCCCTGGAGCCTGTTAGATAGCAAAAACATTGTTACGGAACTATCAGAACAACTTTTTATAAGTAAGACTTTTTAAATATTTTACAATGACGTATCATTTATTAGGGCTAAAATTAAAGATAAGCTATGAGGATCAACTTTCAGTTTTATATTTTCAAGTTCATTCAATTAGGAAATGCTACGAAATGGAGGCAACAATGGGAACAAGGACATGATCCATGGCAAAGGAGGGGATGGCATGAGATGCAATGGAGCAGGCACCAAAGAAAACCTGGGGAAAACAGAACTAAAACTCAACTCCCTGGGGAGCCCACGAGCTCCCCTGATACCCTCAGAAAGCACAGAGGTCAAGTAAAATATCTAGCCTAGAAGAAGCCACTTGGGCAAAAGAGGACATTTGCAATAATAGGCACTGCAAGAAGGCAGAATGTGCCTTCTGGGTGCTAACTATCCCTCAGGAGTTGTTTTTAGAGTACAGATGCTCATGGACTTCTGGTAGTTAACTAATGGACATGACATACATGACCACCACCACCACTCACTCATTCAAGTAGCCCCAGAAGAGCAATGAGAGAGCACATTGAATCATGACTATCAATATGTCTAGCGTCTAGAAAACAGTGAGTGGTGGAAGGGAGGAGGGAGAAACAGTGGAGAAGGGCAGTGKTTCCTCCATCGCCATGGGGGAAGGGCTACATCTGATCTGGGAGCAAAGCTTGTCTTACAAGGAAGAGAACTATGTACATACCAATAGTAGGAGTCTCCCTGGGAATTTCACACAGGAAAGAAACTGCTAACACATAATAACTTAGGTTTGCACAAACTGAAGAGCTCCTCCTCCTTCCGGGACTGTGGACCTCTTAGTTCAAAGTGTCACCCTTCCCCGGAAGTCAAGCCAAGCCTCCCAAGAAGAGGCCTTGGCACCTTCGCAAGAAACAGAATCTGCAAATCTTGTCCATACCCCATGCCAGCCACCCAGTGAAGCCAGGAGGAAGGTGCTGAGCAGGGAACCTCAGACTCGATTCGTTCAAGGAGAAAAACCCTAACAAGTTCACGGAAATAGTCAAACATCATCTTTTTATTCAGACTGGAATATGCAGTCATGTATATTTTCATCTTTGGAACAGGTGGTTTAATATGCAAATAAAGTAATAAGTGTCAGAACCGTATCCTAGCAGTAGCTACTTTGCAAACGTTACCATGGCACCAATTCAACAGTGTTCTTAGAGGCAGCCACACCTCAGCAAGGTCTTTTTAACTTGGGACAGCAAAGTTCAAATGAACTATTAGACACAAACTGCAAAAGAGTCCTGAACTGAGTTAGGAGGGGAATCTTTACAGCACGATTGCCCTCCACAGCTACTAGAAACGACATGGAACTTTAAGGAGAGAAAAAGAAAATGGACCATCTCCCATAACCCCTGGAATGTGATCCAAGCCTGGAGACAAAATGATGGTAATTATAACTGCTAACATTTGTTTTTAGCTGCTAACAGATTGTGCCCAGATTGCGAAGGGCAAACTTCGTTCTCCAATTACTCTTGTGCGAACTGTGCTTTGACAGTACTCACTAAATCCTAGCTGGGTGAAAGGAGAGCAGACTGTCCTCGCGGGTGGTTCATTTATGTTAAACTAAGAAAGGGCTGTCCTCCCATGGCCCCAGTCCAGGGTCCCAGTCCAGGGCCACTCACAGTTGGATGTGAGAGAGCATCCTCCAGCAGAATGGGCTCTAACAGGTCTCTAGTTCTCACTGCCAGCTGATCTGCTCCACAGAGGGTGACAGGCACTTCCCAAGCACAGACAAAGCAGAAGGTGAAGGACTCAGGAGGAGGGATGCAGGCTGCCAGGGGAAGGCACCTGGCTTGTGAACTGGTCAAGGGTCGCTAAGGTAGGCCCTGGGCTACAACAAAGCACATCCCCTCCTGGTTAGGGGAGAATGAAAGGACAGACATCAAAGGTTAACAATAAAGATAGTCTGTGATCAATGACTAGTGAAATAAGGAGCTCTTAAAATTCTTTAAGAGCTCAAACGGACAGGAATTCTTTTCTGCTTACTCTGAAAAGGGTGATTAAAGGTAGAGCTGGGGGGTGGGGGACACTAGAAAAAGTAAAGACTTCATCATCAGGGAACCATGGTTGGTTGACACTGAAAAGCCCTCACAAGAAAGAGAGTCCCCCTCTTATATATCAAAGCCACTGCTCAGAACGATCTCACTAAAATAGTATCATGTATCTTATGGCTAAAATAGAAAAAAAAAAAGTGAGAGGTAAGGAAAGGATTGTTCAGAAAAGCAATCAGGAATTTCCATTTTGCTGCCTTTATCTTCAAACACAAAAACTTTTGCTTTCCTAAAGGGTAATTATGAGACCATATATAGAGTTAATTTCACACGTACACCAGCTTAAAATACAATAATTAAGCAGAAAAGGGCCTCTTGGCATGGTTTCCAAAACATTTTAGCCAAGTCAATCTGCAAATTTTCTRTGGGTGGGTTGGATTTGTAATCTCAGTGGCAACCTGCACAATGGGTGTGCCACCCAGCGGCTCACCACATTGAGGGCACAATATTCAAAAAAGTGAGAGCTTGATTTCATCAAGTTTTGATAACCAGAGAGATGCAGTCTGATGAGCAAGGCTGAAAGGAGATCAAGAGATCAAGAGAGAAAACAACACTCAGGAATTAGTATTAGGTTCCAAAAGATGGGCCCACATCAGGGATTAGATCCAGTTTGCTGGAGGAAAACCTCTTACAAAGGCCAGGAAGCCTCAAGGGCAGGAATTCAGTTGCGTCAGGAAAATACAGCATTAAGGAGGAAATGGAAACAMATGCCCAACCCTGTGGACTAAGCTGACATGGCAGAAGTTGGGAGAAATCTGCAATCTGGTGGATACATGCTACCAGAGCTACTGTAGGGATATTAGCCATAGGATACCAGTGACAGGAATGAAGCCATATTTCACCCACAGCTGGATCAAGTCTCTTAAAATATTTTCTTCCCAGGACCGGATTAACAGAGGAATTCTGTAGCTCTCAGCCTTTCAAATACAAGCTGCATCAAATACAGCAATGACAGAGCTTATCTAGGCTGAAGAAAACACAATTGATCAAAGTGCTTTCATGTGGAAAGCCATAATAAATATTTGAAATGTGTTCAATTAGATTTTGAAAAGTGAAAAATATATTTTGTTGCAATGGTCAGTTTTACCTCATTTGTGTTTTCTGCCTTATTTGTTTTGCTATCTGGGCAAAGTTAAATGTAAACAATGAAATTATAAACAAAAAAATATAGAGTTTTTTTTAATATTTGTTTTTTAGTTGTAGGTGGACACAATATATTTATTTCATTTTTATGTGGTGCTAAGGATTGAACCAAGTGCCTCACCTGTGCTAGGCAAGCACTCTACACTGAGCCACAGCCCTGGAGAATATTTAATTGTGCTCTGATGAGGAAGGGTTTTCTAAATACAACAGGAAGAAATAAATTGAAAGAGAAGATTGGACAACATAAAAATGTAAAATTTGGTCCAATTTAAAATATCAGCATAATTAAAGGCTCTATAAACCAGGTAAAATATTTTCCAAAAAAATGAGATAATATTTGTGATGCATAAAGAACTTTGGCAAATCAATAAGAAAAACTTTGAAAAAAATAGGTAAACAATCAAGAATGTTTCATAGAAGAATAAACACTATAGACCAATAAGCATATGAAATAKTTCAACCTCACTAGGAATAGAAAAGGTATATATTATAACATCAGGAAGACACCAATATCACTTCTTAGATTGGCAAATGAGGTAATAAACATCAATGCGAAAGAATCTGATAAGATTAGTATAATTTCCTAGGATAATTATCAAAGTTTGACCTAATACTAAGACTTCATAGTAATCTACATTAAGAATCAGAGTTATAAACAATTTATAAAAATATTCATCAGTCATTTATAATAATTAAAAGAGGCAAGAAACTGAATATTATAATTATATCATAAAATTCTAATTGGCCATGAATGGTGTATTTCAAAGAATGGGGAAATGCTATGACACAATATAAACTGAAAAAGCAGGGTATAAAACATAACTTTAGTACTGAGGATGTAGCTTGGTTTTAGAGCGCTTCCCTAGCATATGTGAGGCCCTGGGTTCAGTCCTCAGCATATACATGTATCTGGTGGGAATAGACCTGTTATCAGTGATTGCAATACAAACTGATAGGTTTTTTCTCCTTGTACATCAGTATTTAAAAAAAAAAAAAAACTACATTATAATGCTAGGTAGCTGTTTGGAAACAAGAAGGGAAAAAACCATTCCTTTCAGATCTTAACATTTAAGGTTTAATATCCCAGAAACTATTGATTTGAAATATTATAAACAACCCATRTTTGCTTTCCATAAGAGTTATTTTCCTCTAACAAGTCCCACCCACCATAAATAAGACTCTCAAATGCCAGTGGATGAGTGTCCATGACCCAAAGAATCATGATCAGCAATTCCTTTTTTTGCTTTTTTTCTTTTTATTAGTGAATTATAATTACACAAAATGGTGGGATTTGTTCTTACAAATTCATACATGCACACAATATAACAGCATTATTGGTCAGTTTCATTCTCCAGTATAAGTAAGAATTTTTTTTTCAGGGGTGGGGATTGAACCCAGGGCCTGCCCATGCTAGGTGAGTATGCTACCACTGAGCCACATCTCCTACAGGTGGCAATTATACAAGAAGTCACTACCATTAGCAAAACCTACCCTATGGTCCATTTCTTAAAAGAATAATACCTCCATATTATGCTAATGGTTTTAAGAAATAGCTCATTTCAAATGCAAGCACACTCAAAACCTCTGCACATATGTTAGACACTATTATATGCAGAGAAGCAACAAAGGAAGAAATCATGAACAAAATGTATAACCCATGCTTATTTCTTTGGATTTCCATAAATGGAAATCTTCTGGATAACCTGGGGCTCGTAGCATTGTTATATGTCAGGCACATAGTGAGGCATTTTCTATGTATTCTACTACTCAAATCCTAAGACAACCTTATGTACTATTGTTGTCTTCACTTTGAAGACAAGGAAGCTGTGGCTCTCAGATATTAAATAACTTACCAAAAACCACTAGGCTGGTAAGTGTCTGAGCCCAGATTTGGAACAAGGCAATCTGTTTCTAGAACTTGGCTGTTAAACGCATTTGCTCTATTTAGTCAGAATCTTTGCGACAGGTAAAGTTGTATTCTGCATTTCTCTTTTGCCTCCTCCCTACCCTCCTAGAACCTCAATAAAGAAAAACAAACCCTAACCTTTTTAATCCATTCATATATGTCACTATCTTTTAGAGTCAAAGATGCTACTATAGTTATTCTGCTACTTCCTTCAATGAAAGCCGTAGGGCTTAATAAATTAATGCATGACCTTCAGTTTTTCCTGCGATGGTTTTATACATAGTTTCTCTTCCCTATTTAGGTTTGCAGCTAGAAGACAATAAAACTAGCAATGGAACCACTATATGAGGAATACCTAGCACATGGTGGAACAATAGTCAAACCTTATTACTGGCTAAACTTCTCTCTAGATTGCACCAACTGTCCTTACCATATTCGGACAGGTGAGGAAGCAAGAGTCCCCTACACAGAATTTCATCAGATTTTTGGATTCCCTTATGGGCCAACATATCCTCAAACAAAACACCTCATATTTTATGAACTCAAAAATTCTTCTGGTAGCCTGGTGCAAAAGGGCCATGCCAGCAACTGCACTGGGAATGATACCCACCCAGAATCAATGCTGTTTGAGACAAATGGTTATCTTGACTCCGCTGTGCACAACAACAGCAGCATTAGGCACATCATCCTGTATTCCAACAACTCCCCTTGTAATGAAGCCAAACACTGCTGCATCAGCAAAATGTATAATTTCCTGATGACGCACCCAGACGTCACTCTTAGTATTTACTTTTCTCAGCTCTATCATACTGAGCACGAATTTCCTGCCTCGRCGTGGAACCGTGAGGCTCTTCGGAGCCTGGCCAGCTTATGGCCCCAGGTCACTCTGAGCCCAATAAGTGGTGGGATCTGGCACTCTCTTCTCGACAACTTTGTCAGTGGTGTCTCGGGACCCGCTGTTTTCCAGCCCATTTTAACCAGGAGGGCCCTGGCTGACCGGCACAATGCTTATGAAATCAACACCATAACAGGAGTGAAACCTTACTTCACAGATGCTCTTCCCCAGAAAAAAGAGAATCAGAACTACCCCTTAAACCATGTCCTCTCTGTACAGTCTTTCCAAGGGACAAGTAGACAACCACAGTYCAGCGTGACTCCAGACCTCAGGAATCCTATTGTCTTTGTGCTGGTCCCTTATAGAGACCTACCACCAATCCATGTGGGTCAAAACCCTCACAAACCCAGGAATGTGGTAAGGCACTTAAATATTGCCTCAAATGTCACTCCAGGAAAACAAAGACCTCAGAAAGACCAAGGGAGATAATGGAAATCAGAATGGTTTGCAAGGAGCAAAGAGGTAGAGGAAAAGAAGAAGAAGAAGAAGAAGAAAGAACAAAAATAAAATCTACATGTTATGAATGCATGAAGCCAAGTGCCAGGAGACTTACTAGCTGGGCAACAAAAATCTGAAAATCTCTCTCTCAGATCTGATCAAAGATGAGGATTAACTGATGCATAAGAGCAAAAACTGAATTATATACCATATCAACTATTTTAAAACCATACTTTTTCTAACATAATCTAAAATATTTCCATAAAACAACATGATCTCTCTCCTTTATTTTGAATGTGATAATAATAAAATGGAACCATTAATACCTTGCTAATATTTTGGTAAAGATTAGGAATATTGTTAGTCTACCCAATCATCTTTCCAATAAAAAGAAAACATGGACTAAACAGCTTCTTAAATTGGTTTCAGCATAAAAATTTACTATAAAATTATAAAACAGCCTGAAGTTACTGATGTTAAGTGCTATCTCAAAGAGTAAACTAGTAACATTCCATTAATTGTTAATTATGGATGGAAGATTTTAGGCAGCCTACCTTTTCCAGAGTATTTCAAAATTACATAGAGTTATAAAAATTGAAACGTAGCCACCTACTCAGTGGACCTTTTCCAGCRCAGAACTCTCCCTCCTGAGCAAATGACAGGGGCCGGATGATGCAAGAGAATCACCAAAGGCCCCCCTTCACAGGCCACATCACCAGAACCACTCGCACTGGCTCCCGGAGCTCCTTGTTGCCTTGTTTCACTGGTAAGATTTTAAGTTCTGTAGGACAAGCTCATGCTCTGCACCACCACCCCCACTCCCCGCCACCTTAGATTCTCCTTTAGAATCTAGCACAATATCCAGGCAGAATGTGGATAGCAAGGTTGAGACTGCATCTCAGTAAATTCACCAATCATTACGCCCCAAGATCTCTTCACTGCTGCTGAGTGCCTGCTTAACCACCCTCCAAGGGACATCTTTTTGTTAGCACCCATTTCCCCTTCTTCTAATTCAGATCACCAATGCATAATTTGTATGTGCTGATTTCCCTTTTCTGACCCCTTCCTCTTTACCAGTGTATATCCGTAACTTCTCTTAAAATCCAATTCAAAGCATACTCCTTTAGGAAGCACTCTTYGACTAACCCTTTGAGTCACTTAAATGAAACCACTTTACTTATGCTTAATTCACATTTGCTATCTCTTCCCTCTCAGAAATATGTAAAGATGAATTATAAGAAAATGTATACTCATCTTTATAGAACTTGCCTTTATATGAAAATACACACACATGCACACACACAAATATTTCACTATTACATTAGAGCACATAATACTTCATGAAAAGGGGGAGGAGGAAGAGGAAGGAAGAGATAAAAGAAAAAAAATGTTTTAGGAATAGAAGTTAGTATTGTGTAAAATAAACATGAATAAAATTATTAAAAACAAATTTCTATTGTTAGCCTGCAAATTTTTATAGAATTATTGGAATATAATTTTACCATGGGTATACAGTGATTATTATTTTAAAAGGTGCTACTGAAGTTTATATCAGCTCATGGACTCATATGTCCATTATTTGGAATGTTATGATAAAAAAAAAAGATCCCAACATGACAAATCGGTCATTTCTGATTGTTATAAAATAGATCCAAGGGAGTTGAGGTTGTATCTCTGTGGTACAGCACTTGCCTCACATGTGTGAGGCACTGTGTTTGATCCTCAGCACCACATAAAAATAAACAAAATAAAGTTATAAAAAAAAAAACAGATCCAAGGGCTTGGGGTATAGCTAGCTCAATGGCATGTACAAAGCTCTAAGTTCAACACCTTCCCCAGCAAAACCACACACACACACACACACACACACACACACACACACATCCAATTTGTTGGCATGAAATCTCTCTCTAAAATGGTAAAGTAGACCACAACATCACAAAGGATCCATGGTCTAAAATCTAGGATGAACTTTTATGGTATGTAACAAAAAAAGATATGTTGCCACAACAACAGGAAGGAAAAATTCCTTTCTCGGTTACATTTTTACACTGGCTAAGGCAAGACTGGGCTGAGTAAAAGAATGTTACTGACAGGTCAGAAGTCCAAGGCAGGACAGTCAAGTGTTAGATAAGAGACTAACAGAGGGCATAAAGATAAATGGTCCAAGGCAAGTCATCCCTTTTTACCCATCTGTGAAACAAGAGATAGCTGTTAGTTCATCTTTAAGGCTCCTTTCAGCTCCACCTGCTGTAACAAGGCACACAGCAGAGCAACCTTCCCACAGAGTGAGACCTTACCATGCAGTGATCAGTCTTCCTTGCTCGCCACACAATGGGTTCTGGGTCATGTTGGGCTGACCCAAGGATGAAGGAGGAGAAGTTAGAATGCTCTACCCCTCTTCAGTAAACCAGCAATGGTGATATTGAAGAATATCACTGCCACCACACATATGGAAATTCCAAATAAAATAATTGATACTTAGTAATATCATTATTTTAGAAGCCAATGAGTTAAAGCAGGTAGCAATACAGAGATGTGGAAAACATAGGGATGTATCCCACGAGACCAACAAAAGAGAAAAGAGGGCAGCATTACCTTGGTGAATCTCTTGACTACCCAGTCAGTATAAGGAGGGTGGATTTATTAATCAGGGGCAGACTTGGATTAATAAAGCTCCCAAGATAGACATATAAAGGTAGAATGCTAATGTATTGATTTCCTGTGAGACAACTGGACATACAAGCAGATATCAAAGTCATCCATCTTATATTGCCTTTCCACATAGATAAGCTTCCTGATATTACAATAAGAAGGTTGCTCTATGGGACTACAAGAGTTCATCATATGATTCAAACACTTAGTGCTATCAGATTTGAATTTGTAGTGGAGATACCTCTGCCACTTGGAAAGAAATAGTGTAATATGTACAAGGATGTCTATCCCTGGATAGTATTTGGGTGAGCCTAGGCTGTAAGAGACAACACAGACCTCTATAACTCCTTTTGTGACTGACAGCATTTATTTTCTTGGGGGATGCTAGGGACTGAAACAAGGTCCTCATGTATGTTAAGCATACACTTTACTATTATGCTACAATCCCAGCCTGATTTTCTACAGATTTGATATTTTGTCAAGTTAAAATCTAATCTTGCTGGCCTGACTTGAGAGCAGATTATATTTCTTTAAACAGCTTTTAAATATCTGTTTTGATTCATGGTGCATGCAATCCAAAAAACTTCACTTGAAGAATGGAATCCTATTCATCTCATTTCCAAGGATTTTAAGTATGTGGTACCTATACTAATTTAAAATAATATTCTTACTATCAAATATTTAGTGAGAGCTATATAAGGTGTTTATAAGCACTTACTTAAAGTAACTCATTTAATTTCCCAATAATTCTACAAGGCAAGTATTATTATAATACTTATTCTACAAATGAATAAATTGCAGCATAGAAAACTTAAGTATCTGCCCAAGTAGTAAAGGCTAAGCTGATAATCAAACCCAGGAGATCTAATTCCAGAATCCATGCTGTTCATCATTACATTTTGATGCCTACCTCAATAATAACAATGCAGATTCACTAGAAATCTAGGAAAAAATTAATATCCCTTTAGTATGTGTCCTGTGGCTTTTCTATAATTCTGCTCAAATCATGTTACCCATGGGAATCTGGTATACTAAGGGAGCCAGGTAGGATGGGCAAGTTAGGGTAGAGAACTTAAGTAGATTCTAGATCCCAGAGCTTTGGCCCTCAACCCAGCCCTACTTCCTCTTTTCCAGCCCCTCATACCAATCACATATCTTGGGGATTATTTTACTTTGGATATCCCTGTCTCTCAGGGATGTATCAAATAGAGGACCCAAGACAATGGAACACTGTTTTATTGTTCCATGCAGTTAAATTAAGTGGAACTAGTTCCAAAAACAAAATCAAAACAAAAACCTCTCAAAGAGAATTACCRTATGATCCAGCAATACCTCTTCTGGGTATATACACAAAAGAAAGCAGAATCTTAAAAGATATTTGTATACCCATAATTATAGCAGCATTATTCACAACAGCCAAAAGCTGGAAGTAAACCAAGGTCCTGGACATGTGAATGGATAAAGAAAAGGAAGGAAATTCTGAAATGTGTCACAACATGGATGAACCTTGAGGACATCATGCTAAATTAAATACATCAGCCATAAAAAGATAAATATCATATGATTCCACTTATATGAGGTACCTAAAGAAGTCAAATTCAAGAGACAGAAAGTAAAACGTGGCTGCCAACAGCTGGGGAGAAGGAAAAATAGGGAGTTACTATTTAATGGATAGAGAGTTTCAGTTTTGTGAGATTAAAAAAAAACAACATCTGGACACGAATGTGGTAATGGTAGTACAACAATGTAAATGTGCTTAATACCACTGAACTGTACATTTAAAATGGAAATTGTTATATGTATTTTACCATAATTTTTTAATTATATGGAATTACTAATTGACATTAATGATTTATCTACATGCCAAAAAAATGACATCTTTTGTGTTAGAGTAAATATTAGAAAATAGGCTCTATGACTACTCACAAAAAACTGAGATAAAGTAGKGAAAGTTTATTGAAATAACTGAAAACAAATATCTTTTTAAAATCATTACAATAAGCTTTTTTTTAGTTTGACACTTTATAGTCCATTTCAAGCTAGTGTGTGGATTTATTTCAACCATTGATACTTAGTAATATCATTATTTTAGAAAAAAGATTAGTATAGTAGGCAATCAGAGAAAGACTTGCTGAAAGTAGAGAGTGGTAATTAAAAGCATCAAGTTTGGAATCAGACAGATCTCATTCCCATACCAGAATGCCAGGAGCTAACTGAATATTCCTGGCTGAGTTATATACTATCTCTGAGCCATAATTTACTCATCCATAAACACTAATGGGAACACTAATTCTTAAGCCCTATAGATACTGCAAGATTAAATAATGTAAATAAATGGTTTATTTACCAAGAATCTGACACATTAAACAATAAGTGGTTGTTTGTTTTAAATAAAATAT